TTGTATAATACTGATATTTAGGTGTAAATGCTGATACTAATATATGTTTTTTATTACTATACATTTTATATATCTATTATAATTTACAATATATGAATATATATAATATATTAATATGATTTTTATTTTATAGTATTTAATACTATTATTAATTATCTTCAGAATATTTTTAATAAAAAATTAAAATACATTATTATTTTATAGAATAAATATATTACACAACTTAATGTAGTATTTTTATACACATATTATTATAACTACAGTAAAATCATGGAATATAAAAATATGACACGCTCACACAACATATATAAAAGCGTTATTTTATTTACAGAAATAGTTTTTCGAAATGTGCTTTAACGATATAATATAAAAATTAATAGATATATATTCATTATTATTATTATACAAATTTAACTTATCATGAAAAGAAATAGAACTTATAAATTTATTTTCCTTAATGATAGATTGCATAGTACAACATTTTTAATATTATATATGTATTTCTTTTAATTATGATTAAATAATTATTTTACAATATATATTATAGCATTACATATCATGAATATAATACTATATATATTTTTTTTATAGGTAATAATATATAAAAAATGGATGTACATTTATTAAATCTGCTTTGTAATATTCTTGAAAAAGACCCACATTTTTTTTATATATTTTTTTTTTTCATTCCGATGTACTTAAGAGACTAACATTATAAATTAGTTAGAACTTTTTTTTTTTCTTTCTTTAAAACTATAACAGCGTGAATTTATATGTTACTACAAATTAAAACATAGGTAAAATAAATAATATACATGAAAATTAAAAGGTAATTTTTTAGACTCTATAAAAAATGATTAATGGAAAAACAAGATATATATGATATATATATACCTTTATAATTTAAGATGTAATATAATGTTTTAAATTTGGTGAATATATAATTCTTAAATTTATAAATATTTGACATATTTTCTTTATTTGACTTTTTTTTTAGGACATATATGTAAATTATCCCCTTTATTTATGTATTCTGTACCTATATTACGTCTAAAATTTTAAAAATATGAAGCATAATTATAAGATAATTGTTAAAATGAGAATGTTTTGAACAATAGTTTTTACACACAGATTCCAATTTATTGTAATAATTGAGAAAGAACTCTTCGGTAAAATGTGACATATAAATGTAATATATATATTTAAAGCATATTAATATATGTCATATACATTAATTTGACTTTTACTTAATAACATTTATAGAGATATTTTCATTACATTTATTCCTATGCAAAATAATATATATAAATAACAATTATAAATTTATCCTTTTCATAATATGAAGAATTAGACATATATTTATTTAAATTCAAACAAATTAAATTTGTATATTTCATTAGATTCTCATGATATAGTACAAATAACAAATAAAACAGCTGAGACATGCCGTGATTAATTAACATAAGAATAAATAAAATAATACACTAAAACAAATTTATATTGTTTTTACATTAATTTATCATGTAACTGGAATTCTAAATAATCGTTTTACACTATTAAATGACTAAATATACACAGTTGAAGCTCTTCAGATACGTAATCCCATGAAAACATACGTATGATAATTTATAAAAATTTTTTATATAATATTATATTAATAAATGATATGTAATGCATTTTCACAAAATAATTTTAAGGATTACAAATAAAATAACGATAATATGGACCATTTTTTATCATGCATATATATGCTGCTTTTAAAGATTTTTTTTTTTAACATATATAGAATTATATATATATACAGAAATTAAATATATCTTAAAATATTATTCCATATATAATGTTAAATATATAACATTAAAAGGATAAGGATTATTTATATAGACTTATAGAGCATAAATGCAATTGTCAGAATTGTTTTTTTTTCTATTTTATGTAAATTACAATTACATAAATATTTTGTAAAAATATATATATTTTAGAACATAGACAACAACGAAAAGGACGATGCACTAAAAAGCAAATAAGATATATCCTTATGTATAATAGATCATATAGGAAATAAAAAAACTCTAAAATATATGTAATTAGGGATATATAAAATACAATTATCAGGTGTCTAAAATTAAAAGATATCTATATTTTTTGAATAATATTCCTGCCTTTAACTAAATTATATATAGTACACATTTTAAAAAATATGTTATTTTTCAATATTGAAATTTTTTATTTCGAAAATATTATATACATTAGGTTTTCAAAATATATACATTTACTTGGATTTCATTTTTGTGAACTAAACCTTTTTTTAATTTTTGTTTTGCATATTCATATTCGTAAGTTTTTTTTATTGTAAATCCATAATATAATATAATTTATCCATTCATTGATTATTTATATATTAACGGTTATCCATTATATAGAAAATTGTGAAATTGGAATGAATAACAATATAACACTAAAATTATGTGACATATAAATTATCATGTTGTTCTCCCATATATAACTAAATATGATACTTATTTTTGAACTATTTTTATACTACAAAAGGCTCTCAGGCGTTAAATTATATCATCATATATTTATACATAAAAAATTATCTTACTAATATACATGTCATCATAAATATAGAACATTATTGTACAATACAACAAAAAACTACAAATTATTTCCTATTTCTAAATTCTGAATATAACAATTTCAATGGATATTTTAGGTTATTCTTAATTTATTAAATTTCCTTTCATCTATTACATTCTTTATGTAATTAAAAATTCTAGATTACTTTACACAATATATACAAATACATATATTTAGTTTAACTATGATTAAATATAATTTTCCTATTTATTAAAGTAAGCTATAATACATTAATGATTATTTTATATAATAATTATGACTGTGTATCTTAAGTGAGACTTCAATATATTTATTACATCGAGATTTACAGAAGCAAAACATTTCAGAATTTATTGATCTTAGGATACTAATAACAAAGATATATGTACATTTATATATAATTTTTTTTTACTATTTACTAAATAATAAAATAAAAAGAGTTTAATTTTCAATACTTAATACTTATTTTTGTAATTCTTGCAATCCATTTGTTTAGTACTATAGTATAAATATGGAAATTTTATATATAAATATTTTAAATTATTGAGATAAATACATTAAAAATATTTTTTTTCCGAAATTCAGATCTTATAAATATATATAATGAAAATGTCGTGCGCTCACATAGAGCATAAGATATCATGAAGTTCGTTTTTGCAATACAACAAGTATGTAAGAAGATAAATAAAATATTCAAAAAAAATATAACAATATTATATTTTTTATACGACCTTATAATAAAAGCATAGATTGTATGAAATATATGAACATTTAATAAATATTATTTTTTATATTTATATATTATCTTTTGTTAGTTTTTCAGCATCTGTTACTTTTTTTAAATAATTTGAGTATTATATACTGATATTATATTTTTAAGTATACAAGTTTCATTGAATTTTGAATATTATATAAAAAAAATTATAGAACAATTGGCTAATACAGAAAAATGTGTTTTTTTCTATTGTTTAATTATATGTTTATTTTGTTGCAATGTACATGATAACAGGAATTCATCATACATAAATTATTTGTACTCGTGACTTCGTTATATATTACAATTAATTAACATGTATATTTATGTGTTATTATTTGTTGAAATTATATAATCGTCAATAAATAAAAAAAAAATTTTAATAAAAATAATTCTTTTAAAAATATATTAAATTTATAGAAATTAAAAATTTTATAGATAGTTTTAAATGCATCATATTTTATTGACATAGATTAAAAATTGTTATTATAAATAATTACGTTATTGTTCGCCTTATGTACAAATAATTTCTCTATGTTATAATTATAATACCAGTAAATAAGCAAATATGCTCACATATATTTTTACCTCGCATACTAATGCTCTTTTGAATTAATTAGTTATACATATTTGTAATTATACAATATTTATAAGTGATATTTAAAAAATATATTTCATTGAATAAACATAACTTTTCATAAATATTAATGCAATTGTTGAATAATATGATTATTCTTATTAGAAAGCAATAACATCATATATGCTTAAAAAAAAATTACTCCCAAATTTTTAATTAAAATATATTTTTTTTCTGATATATAGAATACAAATTTATAAAGAGTTTTATAAGTTCCTATTATATACAGTAAAAATAAAATACAATAAAAAAAAATTTTATATGTTGTAATAATCAAATTATGATAGTATCATATAAATAAAAAATATTTATAATTTATTTCTTAATGCGAATTAAAATATTATTGTTAATATCAACAATATATAAATATTACATAATAATTATAATATGAAAATGGGTGAGAACTTTACGAATTCAGAAAATAATGAAAGGTATTAAGAAATCAATTAAAATATTAGCGTGAAAAAGTATAGCTTTATATATTTTTATAATATACGCAATGAACCATTATTAATGTAAATTATATATATGAAATAAAAATAATAATATTGTGTACAAAAAAACACAAAATATTTAATTTAACCTATAGTATCTATGACACTTTGGTTTAAAAATATTGTGTATAGATAATATACATTATAATTGTAACATACACTATAATATTATGTACATTAATATGAATTACAAATAGTTCATTACACATTCATATTGTAAATATCTTTTTATGGTTGGTTAATATATATATTTATGTATTATATAATCTAAAAACAAGTACACATCCATATTTCATTGACAATAATATTAAAATAATAACATATCATAAAGATTTATAAAAATAGGCAAAATGAATAACACAAATTCCTAATTAAATATAGCACCACATATATTCTTATAAATGTTATTAGAAATGATCCATACATTAGTAAATACATAGTTAGATATATGCTGTTTTTGTTTTGTTTATATATCACATTTTAACATTAGTTAATAATGGAAGCTCATGGAGGGGAAAGTTTTTTATATAATGTAAATAGTTATTTGCTTTATGATACGATATTTCTAATTAAATTATTTATATTTTTTATAAATAAAAAATACATATTATATCATTTGTTTTTTGTGCATAGGATGATTTACTTAAAGAATTACCTTCAATAAAAAAGTACGCTAGTTTCAATAATGGTTATGTGGATTGTAAACATGCTAATTTTTACGAATATGTGAATATTCCTCTACAAAATGAGGAGTGGCAGAAAGATGTTTCTAACGAAATACATAAGGCCTTATGTTATATATATAATAAAAAGGAAACGGCGAACTTTAATAATGAAGATTGTGATTACCTATACTTTTGGTTAAATGATATAATATATAATAATATAAAATTTCAATTACATTCTACAAGTGTTATAACAGTACTTAAGTTTTTATTGCAAAATAATGATGGTCAGAATATATGTTTGTATGATGAATATAATATCAATAAAGATAATTATAGGGATATTAAGCTGTTATTTGATTTTTCGAAGGATTATGATACGCTTAAAAATTATTTTAGTAATGGTTATAGGTTTTGTAACAGCGATTTTCAGAAATATGTAAATCAATATATCATAAAATATAACCAGATCAAAGGCATGTGTAATGATCCAAACAGTATGGATGCGATTTGTATTGCTTTTAAAAAATTCTTTGATGGTAAGGAAATTGTGGACTTACGTGAATGGAAATGCAATTTAGGAGTAAATACAGATAGATTGACATCCATAGAAGGAAATCATGAAAATATGGAAGAACTTAGTGAACCTGATGTAGTTCATTATGGAGAGGAAAAGGAAAAGTCACAAGAAGAAACTCTTCGAATAGGAGTAGATAACACTTTCACAGGCTCAATTTCTACAACATCTTATGTCTCTATTGGACATTCAGCATTGAGATACAATATTGATAATCCAAACAATTCTTCAGAATTTACAGTTTCAAAAGCTATGACCATTGCACCATTACTTATAGGAATTACAGTTTTTTCTATTTTATTTTATAAGGTAATTATTAATGTAAATTATAAAGAAAATGTGTTTTATTTTATAATATAAATTTTATTAAATTTATAATATGTTTACAAATATTATACAAAAAAAAATTTGTATATATACCATATTTCCTTTAGTTTACTCCATTTGGTTATTGGGTAAAAAAGGTCTTACTAGGAAAATCTAAAAGGAAACCTAATATAATAATGGATAGGAATATAATAGAAAATTATACGATTTCTGAAGATT